TTCTGTCAATTTTTTTTTTTTTTTTTAAATTATTGTCTGGACTCTGAAGACTGCCAAAATGTGTTGAAATAAAATTTGAGTCCTTTTTGTATTTTCCATTTGTTTTTGATCAATCTAATTTATAGGATTCATTGCTCTTTTAATATCAAGTGTAGTCTTTGTAATCCAGTTGTACACTGGATTACATAGACTAAATGCCAGCATTAAGTATTAGCAGTTACACAATACCTTGGAACGTTACGTCTTTAAAAAACAAAAAACAAAGCTTTCCCAGGTCATCCCTAAAGGTAGGTGGGGAAAAAAACAAAAACAAAAACAAACAAAAAAACCCACAAAAGAAGCATGCAGAAGCTTTTGATGAAATTAACACAATTTACAATGAATGAAAGAACATGAAAAAAAAAAAGGCAGATGAGGTTGAATGAAAATGTTTTTGAATGAATGAAAAAACTAAATTGTGGGCATATAACCCATCTGCTGCACAAGGTTCAAACAACAGTTCAAATGGGTGCTTCTGCCAGGCTGGTCAGTACCAAAGTATTGATAAGCAGATGGACATGTGGTGTTACTATTCATACTCCACTCCAACACAGGAATTTGAAAATATCAACTACATGACCCCTGCCGGTGTCATAAACACATTTGTCATAGAAATGTTCATATAACACTGCACATACCACATGTTAAATCAGTTTGCCGAGTTTGGCTAATGTTAACAGCGCTCAGAGCCTGCTGTTCTTGCAGGTTAGTGTCCACCAGCCTGTACACAATGTGGTTATGTGTCAGTTTATGCCCAACCAACTTGTATGAAACTGCTCATCTCAACATTAGAAGTACTAATTAACTGCATGGGTTTGCATAGCCGCTGACCTACTTAATGGTGTCAAGAGCTGCTGGATCTTATACAAATCAAATCAAATCACTTTTATTGTCACATCACATGTGCAGGTACATTGGTACAGCACATGTGAGTGAAATTCTTGTGTGCGAGCTTCACAAGCAACAGAGTTGTGCAAAATACAATAATGTAAACAAGCAAAATTATTGTATTTTGCACAACTCTGTTACATGTTTAACTTTTGTTGTACATTAATGAAATACAGATTTTTTTTTTTTCCAAACAGGTATATTTCAAGTGTCCACTGCCAAGAGTGGCAGAGTTTAACCACCTGCAAGAAGTGCTATGTCTAAAGGGGTGTCCCTGGACTCTAAATGTGATCATTACCCAGACACCACTTGGATGCAGTTAGGCTTACATTCTCTTCAACTAAAACTACAAAATTTCCAATTTAACAATAGATATAGAACAGACAGAAGAAGAACATCTGTGACGCTGTAACAAGAGCTGCAGTTTCCCAGTTTAGAATGGCTTCTCCATGATTACCAAAGGTCACCTTAAAAGCACATGCTTTTTAAAAGTTCAAAATTAAATATAGTTTAGACCTTAACCTCAGAGTGACAACATGAATGTTAATGCAATTCACTACAAATAGACCTCTGCACTAATAACATGAGAATCAGTCTGACGTGCTACATTTCTGTGTACTCAAAAAAAAAAAAAGTACATGTGGAGGATTATTTGACAATAAGCTAAAACCTGTTAGGCTATTTTCAATAGCCACATAGATATATTGACGCTTTTACACTGAACTGTTCATCCCAATTTATGTTTTTTAGTCACGTGACCATCATGGAGACCTTGAGGCCACAACATTATTCCAGCATGTGGTCACTTAACACTCCATAGTACTGCACCTCAGGTTAATATTCCATCTGTTTGAAGAAAAGAGCTCAGAACATATTACAAAAAAAGAAGAAGAAAAACAAAACTCTTTACAATCTAAAGAAAGCCCTCACCCAAGTATTGCAACAACTAAAAATAACAGTCCTCCCAGTAGTCTATCCCAGTTTGGTGATACTTATGTGAAGAATCCCCCTCCATACATCAGAATGAAAGCAAACAAAGAGTCAATGGATCATTAGTTGCAGGATCAAAACAGCTTTACCGAGTATTTGTGAAAAGTCAGTAATATATTGATAGATGGGACTAATGCAAAAAGCCACTAAACACACGGAAATGCTGTCATACTCTACATTTTGCTAGTAGTCGTTAACAAAACGAGTTGCTAGTCCCAACTGAATAGCTATTCGACCTATTAACTGGCTTAGAATAGGGAGACCCAGCCTTGCTTTGTACTTTACTTGGAGGTTTGATGTAATAACTATGTATAGAAGGTGGTCGTCTGTGGTTCTAGTAACATCTTTTTAATATTATTATTATTATTATCATTATTATCAATAATTTAAAAATAAAAATGTGCACAAAACTGTTAAACAGATACAATGAATACACAGGTGATTTAAAGTCTTTGTTTAAGCATGTATTAAGAAAAAAAATTGGAAATAATTTCAATACAAATAGCCCTCTGTAGCATATGCCTACATAAATAGGTCTCACTCCCACCCACCGCCCAGATTTTGGACTATGGATCTAGAGGGCACTAATCAAATAGAACACTTTGTCCTCTTTAATAATTTGGCTACAGGAGACCCATAAAGGATGAACGTGAACACTCAAATGGATAGGAGAGGAAAAAAAACAAATAAAAAAATCTGCCACCTTCAGCACTAATGCTTAGACGCTTTTATCATTAAAGCATAATTTTACTGAGAGCAAGTTAAGCAGACTCAAAATGGTGGCCAATAACAAAATGGGTGTGTTTTGAACACCATTCACCAAATTACTTGAACTGAATACTGAACAACTGATGTGTAAAAATTGCTTTTTTAATGCTTGCTTGCTCCCCTTCTCACTCACACAAAAACAACAACAGTCTTATCTACCCGTCTACTCTGTAGCCTACTTTTCATGCCAAAGTTAAACTAACAACTAACAAGGAGGTGAAACTCAGGGGAGGTCTAGTGTTACTCGTGATCTGCTCCAGAACTGTTTTTTCCAAAGCAGAAAACAATGAAAGGCATGAGGGCTTCTGGCTCTGGCTTAAGTGCATGTACACATAACAACCAAACATACTGTGCACCGGTACAAGCTCCACAAAATTTAAGGTTCCAGTGGTTTTATCCTCTACTGGTAATCAAATTACTAACATTTTACAAGGTCTCAGTACACGGAGTTCCTCATTTCTCTGGATTGCCTTTGTGATGAAATTCTGAGCGGAAAATTAGTCATCTCTACTAAGTAGAGCTGATCAAATTTGTGTGAGCCAAAATTCAACATTTAAGATAGTTCATTAAAGAAATTTCAAGACCAGAGTTGTTCAGTCTTCCAAAGAGCCTCACCTAAAATTACCAGCTCATATTGACAATGCTACACATCGAATAAATACAGTCTTGTGACGCCTCCAATACTGGAGACTGTCTGGGTTAACCGGCTGATCGTCTACATTTAGTATGAACATGCTATCGCTATTCAAGCTGAGCAGTTTTGATGTTGTAAGCCATGGCCGATCATTAAGGGACACACAGAAAGGGCAATTTTAGTCTTCAGTAGATTGAGAAAACCGAGTCCTGTGTTCGTTAAAAAACCCCCCACAAGATAACGAACAGTACGAACTGTTAGCAAATGTTTAGAACATTACGCAACTGCCAGTTACATTTGAGCAACGTAAAAGATTAGAAGCAACTTGAAACAAGCTTAATGATCCACCATTTGTTGTAAATTAACATATGGCCCACGTGACCTCACATTTACTATTAGCTAACGCTTGGAAAATCTTAAAATAACATCACCCAGAAATTGTTCAAAACAAGGAGCGTTCTAAATGAACAAGAAAGAACGAGGCGAAGGAGATTTGTAATACTAGCGATATATACCATATGTCACGAAGCGGTTGGAAGGGTTTTTATGTATCGCAAAGAAGAAAATCGGCTAGCTAGCAACAATGCTACGCCTATGTTTTCGACATCATGTTTCTAACCGTTTAAGGACAGCTTTTAGGTTTTTATATAGAACGGTATTCAACATCGAGAATGAAAAATAAAATAGCAAATGCGACAAACATTACTTTTACAAAGCAGGGACACTGAAATCTAAACAAATAAATTAATAACGATAATATTCGCAGTCAATGTAAAGTCTACATCTTCGAACAACATGGCTGACACAGAATTCTTACCTGTGGAGGCATCGGCTCGCCAACAGCTCAACAGAAGGGCAGTGACAGCCCACAATAACTTCATTGTTGATAATAAATATTTACTAGGTCGTCGAATAACCTCAACGTTAACCGCGTTTAGCCGAATGTTCTCTCCGCTGATTGTACGGACTGAATGCCCGGAGCTGAGCCGATGCGGTTGTCCTCGAGTTTTCACCTCACGCACACGCCCTGATCAGCACGTACACCGTGACGTTTTTAGAGGCGTGGCTACTTTTTTGTATAATTCATGCAACCCAAAGTAAAACCTTGTTTCATTTTTATATTCCATTTAATAAAATTCTATTTTTGTTTTAGCATCACAATATCTTAATACATTTGAAGTTTAGCTCAAAGCTAATCACGCCACCATTTTGAATCGCAGTCTGAAACGGAAACTCATCTAGATTAGACGTTCAAAGTATGTCAGTGTTTTTAAGGAGATGTTTACATAAATTAAATGTAAGGAAAGGAATCAATAGCAGAAAATAGAAAAGAAGTATGAATAGAACTGCGGTGCCTATGAGGCAATTTAAAGCAAAAGCAGGAAATAAAAAAACACAGAGGAAAAGACATTAGAAGAAGAATAAAAAATTTCAACTAGTTTTGTTTGGGAAAACACATCCAACCTAAACATAGGCTGTTCTTCACAGGTAAATGGCTAGAGTAAAAACAAATGGAGTTTTGGAATGAATATTAAATAATATTTAAATAAGATAATCCATCCATCCATTCGCTTCTGCTTATCCTTTTCAGGGTCGCGGGGGTTAAATAAGATAATTCTTCTGGAAATATAAAAAATACTCCAACATGAAATATTTAAATATTTTCATTTTATTCAGGTTTCTGTTATTAAAAGATTTGCAAAACCTGCAGCTCTAGAAAAATAAAGCCAATACATATTCACATTATGTATTTTTTTTTAAATCATAAGTCTAGACTTTTAACCGGCACCAGAACCACTGAATCTACAGCAACCAAATATTTAATAAGCCTGATATATTCCAGCTTCACAGCTAGAAGGCAAAACAACAAGGTCAACAATGTTTTGTATCGTTTGTTTGTTTTTTTTTAAAGAAAGATTATGAATCTGTAATTTCCCCTTGTGAGAGCAAACTCTGAGCTATATGTATTCATCTGTCTTCCAGTAAGATCAGTGTTCTGTCCATAACAATGCCCTCTTTGAACATAAAACCCCTGATGTGCAGTACAATGTAGAGGAAATACACCCATATGGCTAAACAATTAAAGGAAACAGAATTTATTGGCTTCTTGATAACATTAGACAGGCAAGTACACCAGTGAAGGATTTAATATAGAATCTGTTTACTAGCTGCATGCCTTTGGACCAGGCCTTACTTTGAAAGTACAAAATTATCACAAAATCGTATTATGCATTGAAAACAGGTCCAGCAGTGCTCACTAATGGGGTCATTGTTCCTTGGTTGATGCTTGGCTGTTCTGGACAGCTTTGAAGGCGTCATGACAGGAACAAATAATTTAGACTGGGAACCAGAACAACTTAAAAGGTCACCATATCATTAGTTTTTTTTTATTTGGTACTTGAACAAAAGGGTATCAAGAGGGTATGTTTTAACCTCTCCTCTTTTAAAATGACCCAGTTTTTATGATTACTGCACTACCATTTAGTTTTTAAACCACAGCACCACAGTCAGAGTATAAAAAAATGAATACACGTAAAACACTGTTGTTGTAAGACTTATTGGAAAGCCTTTAGAGTATTGTAACCACACCCTAAGAATGACTTACAGGAAATGAGTGCTAGCACCCAAACATCTTTATTTTCATCTGTTAGACAGTTTTGTCTGTACATGATCATACTGCAAATCAAGAGGAATTCAACTGGCAACTTTTGAAAATATTTATGTTTAAATTAAAATGCACAGAAATGTTTCAAAATGTATCACGTGTATCATATGTGGAAACATCTTTTATGGTTGCAAATATAAATCATAAAGTATGTGGCAATTGATAAAAAATTTACTGCAATTTAACAGATCATTTCAAGTGCAAACAATGGTACCTGTGTGATTCAGGTAATCTTAAAATAGCAAGTACAGGTTGACAATAAAATAATTATAGAAACTATTGTCAGTTTTTTTTTAAAGAGCTAAAGGGGTCAGATATAATATTGTTTCAATGTAAGTTCAAAGTGCATGCTTAAGCAGTGCACTATAGTGCATTTTGGGTCATTTAATATGCGAGATATGAATGCTCCTTAAAAAGGGATAGCTTTATTATTCTCTTGCTTTACTGAAAAAAGTGGGTCATCATAAAACAAACAAATCAAGAGATTGAAAAATGAGAAATAAAAAAGAACAGCAACTGTCTTGTTCTAGTTTTCTACCTTTGGATTCTTTTTTTCTCTTCTTGTATGAGGTGATTCAGGCAGATCAAGCCTCTTTAAGTATCCATGCTTCTATGCATCCTCCCTGACTGAAGGTGCACTCCAGGCCTCTGCCCTTCCTTTGTTCAGAATCCTGATGAAGGTGGGAGCAACAGGATGGGCAGAAATACATGGGCCTCATGTATCACTTATCCGTGAATCAGCGTGAGTGCTCCTGGGGAGATGCACTCAGGTTTCGGCCCTTCGGCAGGGAGAGGATGGAGGTCACTGGTCTGAAGTACAGCAGCCTGAGAGCTAAAAACAGCTCATGGGGTGACACATGTTCTTCCTACGAATTATCTGTGGAGTTCTCATTGCTGGTTGAACTTGAGGACTGGGGTGTTGAGGAGGATGAGGAGGAGGAGGAGGAGGAAGAGGAAGAGGAGGAGGTAAAATTCATCCCTGATAGTTCTGGAGGGTTTGTTGCTGTGTTCTGTCCACTCAAGCTTTTCCTGCACACTGGACAAGTGTCATGCTGGAGAAAAATATAAAACCTTTTTAGAGTCCCATTTAGCCCAATGTTTCAGTCAGCAACAACTGAATATTTACTGTAAGGGTAAAGAATACTGAATAGATGATGTCTAGTACCTGTTCCAACCAAGGGACTATGCAATCATTGTGAAACATGTGATTGCATGGGAGCTGCCTCACATTTTCACCAACACTGTAATCTTCTTTACACACTGGACATTCCAGTCCTGAAGCTGAAATGTCAAAAAAATATAGTTAAATATGGTGCAAATAGGTCAACAGTTAGTTCTGGATGAAACTTTTACTGACAGGCAAATAGCATTAGGACTTATTTTTCAGGAAAAGCTCCATATTCTTTAATATCCAGTGGAAACATTTGTTAAGTTAGGAGCAAGTATATTCCCATTATTAGTATTTTTAAAGTAAAATAGTGACTTAGAATACCCTAAAGTTATTTACTTAAATCTACAAATAAATAGTCATACTTGATTAAAAAGAATAAGTCAAACAACTGAAATCTGATGACATACTTGCAATAGCCTGCAAAGCTGTTGTAACTTTTTTAACTTACCAACATGCTCATCTGTAATTTGTACTGTAGGAAGACTTTTTATTTTATCTCTATCAGCAGGTGGTGGTCCTGTATTCTCAAACTGATTTAATAACTAAACATTAAAGAAAGGAGAATATTAGAAAGGAGGATAAATTGAAAGACACATTTCATTCGCATCAGTATCTACAATGTTAATACAATCACTTAAAAAACAAAGTTTCTAAAAGAATACCTGTGTTATAATAGCATCTAATCCATTAGCACCCCAGGCATAGTCCATAGGATTTGAGTGAAGAACACCCCTTTAAAAAGAATGGGACATTAGAACAAAGTAAGCACATTTTGGTGTGAACTCCCACTCTATTTTAACACATCTATTTCACAAACTCACCAGGGTCCAACACCAATGTTTGGCATTGCCGTAGGTGCAATTATTCCATTTACTAGCTGCTGAATGATTCTATGAAAAAGAACATAAAAAGATATGACAGAGTAGGAGGCAGGAATATTAATAAATTGCCCAGCAAGCACAAACAAAACAAAACGAAACAAAACAAAACACCGCTTCACTTCACAATCTGCACTCTTTACCCCTCTAAAGTGGGAACTCCCTCGTGTCTCCCTGCTTGTCGTCTTGAACCATGGCGACTTCTTGGTTGCCTGGCACCATATCGTTGCCGAGATGCAGCTTCCCTTTCCCGACGGTTTTCAGCATCCCTGTTATCCTCTGTTGTGAGTCCAGCCCCAAAGTCAAAGCTATCATCAAAGACACCCAGGGCAAACTGGCCATAGCCTGAAGGGAATGTAAACAGGTGCTGGTCCGCATTCTGGGACACAAATAAATGAAAGCAAACACACTGACTTGGTACAAACAAGTGAAGCTTTTGGAGTACAAACACCAAACTTTTACATTCAATACAAAAACACTTTGAAAGTTAATGGTTTGGTTGATAATTAGGTCAAGGTTCACCAATGGTACAGTCACAGAATGCTGACTTGCAGCATTTCCCTGTTTACTGATCATTAAAGCCTGAGTAACTATCACTTTTAAAAAAATCTTTAGATTACTGATGCCTATTTTTAACCGGGAAAAGTAAAACTAGACAAATTATTCAATAAAATACACTGTAAAGCTCAAAACTGCAGCTTCAAAAGCTAAAGTGCAAACTCCAAGACAAAGTTCATCATGCATGATAACATATTAGCACAAACGTCACTGGAAGCAGTTTTAAGAAATGCTGACTCTGTTACACAACAGTGTGCATAACAGAGGCAGAGCGGTACAAAACAGGGGGAGGTTAGATGATAAAGACAGAGTCTGAATAAAGAATGGGTTAGAAACCTCAAATGGTTGTTGATTCTGGGGCCCGCTGGAGATGGTAGACATGGAGCCATTGTCAGCACTAAACAGGGGAACATCATTGAGAGTGTTATGTTTAGACCCAGTGACATCAAAGGAAATGACCATGTGTCAACGTTTTTATCCTTTTATATATTTGTAATGTTTTGCTGCCATTTCACTTTGTTTTCTAGATTATTTACTTTTTGCAAACTGTTACCATGTACAACTCAGAGGATAACATCATTAAAGACACCTAAAAAAGGACAAAAACTCATGGCCATATGTTGATTACATCAGATTAGTTATTAGATTTTTTAGGCCACCCTTTAATGGAAGAAAATAACACAATCTTCCATTTCATAGTATATGCAAAGCATATACGGAAACATTTATATTTAAGCAAGTGAATTAGTTTGCTTTCTATTTCTGCTACTGGAGGTTTCCTAAATTTCATCATCTACAACTAATTATGGAATGCTCATCCTACTGATTATATATATATA